ATCCTGTCAGTATATAAAACGAATAAATGTACGACCCTGTCCGTATCGGCCATTTATCGATCAACCATCAAAGGAGTCTCGTTCCTTTTACTGTCTTCTTCTAGCCTCGCTTTTTGATTATAAAATTTCTCTCTCATTGCCATTGAAATCCTACATAAACAATATATAAGTATCATATAGTTAATTAGGATAAATATGAAATAGAGCTATTTCATGTAAATGCATCTTAATTATACGAATAATATATGCCGGATTATTTAAATATATTGAATAAAGGCTTTATATATATGCACATATTAGACATGAAGTATACCTAACTATATATATATACTACTTATCATCTTTGTATGTTGAAATGCCGTACGGTATATTTATATACTAACATTATAGAATATACTACAATTTATTTATATCTTTGAATATAACTCCCAGTGTGCCATTTCTCCTATTGAAATATACGGGGTGCATGTTTCTGTAACATTACAATACAATTTCTGTTCTTTTTCAAAGCAATATTTCTATCCTGAATGAATTAAGAGGAAAGCTTCCCTTAAAACGCTCGTAGACTATTAATAAATTTTCTTGTTCTCTATTCATTTTTCTCCAGACTTTCTCTTCCCTGATATAACACATTTTTACGATTATTTGATGTCAGATGGCGCTCCTAAAACTAAAAACTTTTAAGGGCAAGTTTTGAGGTATATCAATTGTTTACAAACCTTATCGACGTTTTCATTAAGTCTATAAACAAATTCGACATTGAACGATAAAATGTTATTAGCGTTTGAGCGATATTTTGTCCTTTTTTTTTCTTATCACTATTCTTGTCTTTTCTTTGGCGAGATTTCGGATAGATTTTACCTTCCCAAACGAAAATATAAACAGGTTGAGCGAAAAGTTAGTTTGTTCTTCCTTTTTATCAATTTTCCTCCAAATTTTCTTTTAGCTACTCTATTAGTGTTTTTCAATCTTCAACGAATTTCTCGAATTACGATTTCACCACGCATCGACGGTGAAGGGTTGTGCAAACACTCGCTGCGGGTTTTTTACTTGTTTTAGTAATGCAGTCAGCCGAGTACGAATTGGAACGATGTTTTGTGGAAACTGCAAAAAAAAAATACAAAAGGTGTTTAACATATGTGTAAAAGTTCCATTATTCGAAAAGTTTATCCATGTATAGCATATGAATAATTTGAAGAAAGTTCCATTCGTGCTGCAAAATCTATTTTAGAAATATTAGACAAACCAGTCGTGAGATATTTGCATTTTTTCTAAATCCTATTGTCTCTAGGTTGTACATTACATACGATACAGAATTTCGTTAATGTTTGTAATAAAATAGTTTGCCCTATTACCTTTTCATATTCCATGCATCAATATCTAAATATAACCTTTTTGAATTGCTGCAAATTACCTATGCATATTCTTTTTCATTTTCTTCCTTTTGAATCGTATACTCATTTCAAATAGGCCTTGTTCCTTTCTTATTCTAAATAGGTTTAAGAGAAATCCTAGAATTCTCACCAACAATAATTGATTTTATTATTACATTGAATGTTTATAGAATGTGACATGTTTTTCAAAATATTGTGAAATTTGAACGCTCTTTGAATGTTTATACAAGATGCTCTCATAATTAACAACATCCATAACAGCAGAGTAATTAAGTGGTTTTCAAACTTTTCTATTATTTATAGTCTATTGAATGATTTTATTTTTTTTAACTTAGTTACATTTCGGATGTAGCAATGGTGTTTTCTCCATTTAAATAGCTACTTTCTGTTAACACCTGCATCAAATATTTTTATTTAGTTTTTAGACACCTTAAGATGTTTTATTATGCAATTATATGATTATTATTTGGAAAGTTAAACCTTTCAAAGGAGCTTTTTAGCACATATAAGCATGGAATACTTAACGTTTACTAACCCGTTAATTGTTTTTTATCACTGTCGAAATTCTAACGATTCCAAACCGTTATAATTGGCTACTACCAGCTTAGATATCGTAGATAAGTCGCTCAGCCCGTTTTATCACCGAGAAACGATTTGTAGGCCTAAAAATGATTGATTCCAACCCACTGCTAATTCGTCTCAAAATTATATCAAACATATGTGTAATAGAGAAAGTTTTTTTCGTTTGACTTAGTAAAAACTTTATTCAGTTAGTTACTAGAATCGATTTCAATTAAGTAAAGATAGAGTAATCTCTTAAAAATATAAAATGAATATATTATTCAGGTGTTTCTGTATGAAAAGGAGTGTGATACCCTAATAAATCTCTAGCATTAAACAATAAAATTAATTTAGCAATGAATACTTTTGCCTCTACTACAGACTTTTCCTTTTAGTTACCTTCTCTCTCTATTTTTCTCTATAGTAATAATTAATCCTACAGTCATTTGTTATAAAAAATATAAAGGTTACTTTAGCCCTAGTTATAATTATACTATAGCGTTTAAGCAACTCTCCCCAGTAAACAGAAATGACACGTGTTAAAAATTAAACTAACCCGTTTTCTTATTTCGACCCTTGTACTGATAACAATATAGTAGTATATTTACGCTGCAGCTCACAGGTATATATAACAAAAGGCATACTAAATAAATACTACAATTCGTGTAGACCTTACATAGCGATTATTTATAGAATAAGAGAAAATGAATAAGTGAAGTTAAAAGGTTATTTGGTGATATTTATTAGCCGTAATTAAAAGAGAATAAACCAGAATTGAAAAATTAGTTCAATCAATGAAATAGATAAGTAAAATTAACCCGAACAGGTAATATAAATAAATAAATATACTTTAAATGTCTGTACGGTGCATTGTTCTCGCACTAATATATATGTTATAAATATATTTTATATATTTATATATATACTAAATATAATCATAAAAAACTATAGATTTTATATTAAATGATGTCACGTGATGAGCTAGATGTATTATTTTGAATAAGTTAAAAAATCACATGTTGATGTTTTCATATTTACTAAAAACTTACTTAAGAAAATTAATTTAACGTTCCAACAGATTTTTTTTAGTTAAAATGATTTAATTTAGGAAAAGAAGTGTAGTAAATATTTTATTGGCTATACGCCGTAGTCAGACCGCAAAAGTTGTACAGTAATAACTCGGCTTGCAATGAGAAAACAATAATGCTCGATCTTTTTCACTTCTCATGGATTTTTTTAGCCGTCGTATATTTTCCATCGGTTTTATTTGGCTCGTCGTCAATTTTGGTTTGTATCGTGCTGGACGTTTTTGTTTTTTTTTCACACGGCGTCAAGCTGTTATGAAATATGCAAAAGAAAATTATGACCATAGGCTCCATTAGTCGTTTCAATAACACTCTTCGTGTAAGGAAATATGTTGAAGTATACATATAAATGTAAATAAAATAATTCTTATTGACAAATAGTGCTAGCTTTTTAAAACAAATTTTTCTGATTGGATTTAGGCTTTTCTTCCTCTCTTAGTAGAAATTTTGAATTATTGTTTCTTAACTCAATATGTAGTTAGCTCTATTATAAAGGTAAACTTTATAAAGTATAGAATAATAAACAGGTAAAGTGAAAGGTATATGTTTGATATTTGATATAATTCATTGAAAACATAATAAGGAAAAGTCTTATAAACATTGTAAAAGTATTAATTTCAATTTCTCTCTCTTTCTCTCTCTCTCTCTCTCTCTCTCTCTCTCTCTCTCTCTCTCTCTTTCTTACTCTACCTATCTCTCTATCTATCTTACTCTCCTTTCTTCTTCCTTTACTGTTATTTCTTTTTATCTAAATATCAACATTTTTTTCTACTCCCTTACTCTTTTTGAACTTTCTAGAGTAAGTTAGACTATAAACTTGTACCGACGATTGATTTTATTGATAGTTTGCTCTTAATTACAACTTCTGCGAAAGAATATAAGAGAGTTTAACTAAACCCTTTATTAAGAAAGTTATAAGATTTTAATTATTTTTATTGGAGTTGTAGGAAAGGAAAAATTACCTACTTTTTCTCCGGCGCTCTCTTTAAATATCTACCAACATTACTATCCCCTGAAACCACATTTTTTTTGTTTTAAGTGTGCTCCTCCCCAATTCCATTATAAACTCTTTCGGTTTAAATCGACGTATTCGTTGGGCATACATTTTATATTTAATTAGAACGCCGCAAAATAGGCCTATTTACAGAATAAATATAACCGCTTCCTGAATAATGTATTCTTTTTTAAAAAACATGAATATTTTCAATGATTAGGACGTAATTATCTTTAGAAAAGACATTGATATGGGTATGAAAGTTTAAATTATATACTTAAGAGTCTTAAGTAAAATGGGTAGTGTTTTTATTATATATTTATAAAATAAAGTCTACATAAACTTTTTAATAAATATATGTACCTTTAGACGTATATATATATATATACTGTATATATGTATATATATATTAATATATATATATATATATATATACATATATAAAAGATGCATTAATGAGCATATAAATACATATTTTGCACACTATTAAGCCCTTATTCTTTATTCATATATACTTTACATACTACACTATAATATATATTAGTATATATATATATAGACAGAAAGAGAGATAGAAGAGTAGTTAGAGATATTCTCCTGGAAAACGAATAAAATAAATAGTGTATTTCTTTACTCAACCAAGTCTTATTGCATTAAAAATCAGCCTACTACTATAACTAAATAAAGGATAAGGGGAACAAGGTTGCTCAATAAGATAATAGCAGTTATTATTCTATAATTACAGTGTGCTTGCGTTAGGATTGTAGGATAAAACTGTACAGTTCTATAATTCCTTAAGTTAAAAAGGCCATAGGCAAATGTTAATATATAGTATATTTTATGAAAAGGTTTTTTATTTAACTTACTTTTTCTTATATTTGATTAAAAATCAAATTATACAATTGTATTCAAAGAAAGATGAGAGAATATTCTCTTAATTAAACATTTAAACTATTTTAATTACAGACGGAGTGACCCTTTCGGACGAGAAGAAATTAATTAAAGATTTATTAAAAAAGTACTCGGAAGCCGGTAAAGTGGGTCGACCCGTCCAAAACACAAGTCATACAATATCGGTGACATATGGATTAGCGTTAATTCAGTTATTGGATTTGGACGAGAAGAATCAGATCTTAACGACAAATTGCTGGTCTAGATACGTAAGTTATGTCATTAATCAGTCGGCAGTTCTATCAACGCTTTTCGGCACGTGTAAGATTTTTCAACGATAAAAACAGAATTTCTCAAAGATAGAGTGTTACCATTAGTTAAAGGAAATACGCATAAATCTTTAAATTTACTGGTTATATAACCCAATTCCATGACCCTTTAACCTACATATCAGGGGATTGACCTAAAGTGGAAAAAACATTAAAATAAAGAATTGATAATGAATCAAAGTTCTTCCTACATTATCTAAAAATAGTGATAGTGCACAATGCAGTTATATCGAATGTATTTTTTCCCTCTGCTATTCATTTTCTCCTTTTGAAAATGTTTGCAAGCCTTTAGAGTATTCACTCTATTTATTCAAGCAAAGATAGCAAATGGTGCATTCTATATGATTCTGCAACATGATACATTAACTGCATTAGCACTCGTTGAAAATGCATACATTTTTCAAACTTTTCTATCCGCATTAATTAACCCTAGTCAGGTTTAAATCATTATATCTATGAGAAACAGTAAAAAATACTAATGAAGGCCAGTATAAGACGATGAACAAATTTGATAAAACTCGTAACGTTTGCAAACCATAGATGATAATTGATCAAGATGTAAATATTTTCAAATTAAGAAAAGCGAAAAGAAAATATAATTACATTAATTTAACGAAGGAAACTGATTATTTTTTATGTTTTACAACATACAGTTAAGGAATCGGATTTGTTCTTTATAGTGTTTTAATCAAATTCTTAAATTTATGCAAAAAACAGTTATAAGAAAATAAAAAGGGATATAATTGGGTGAAAAGTCTACGTACATCAAATTTTATTTCAAATAAACTTATTTCAAGCCAACTCCTACTGGTTTCATCTCAATAAACATCTGCCTTGGGCATCACTAATCATACACCCACACTTTCCTACTAATTCTCAATTACCGTAACAATTAAGTGAGAAATACTCGTCGGAGTAGTGATCAATTTCTTTTTCCTCACTCTTTTAATTATTTATTAAAAGAAGCTAAGTCGAAAATTCTGCTCGTCTTTTTCATTTGTAAGAGATGAGAATTTTTTTTGCCAAGTCAATTCCCTTATCAGACGATTAAAGTGATTGATAACTGGTTTTAAGATCAGTAGTCATCTACTCTTAAATTATGGAAAGCGATTAATTGAAAACTTTCCTATTATAGACATGGTACGACATATTTCTTAAATGGGATCCAAAGGAGTATAACGGCGTTGAAACAGTACGAATTCCTTCATCTGATATATGGACACCTGATATAGTCTTATACAACTAGTAAGTTCATATGCTTTAATATTCAATTTAATAGTTGATTACAAAGTAATTAATTTTCACAAGTAAGTAAGAGAAAACTGAGACCATTTTCTAACAATTTTTTTATGTCATCCTAGCGCTGATACCCGTCTGCGAGAACACCGTGACGCCTTTGTTGTCGTTTCTAGCACAGGTGGAATCCTTTGGATACCGCCCGCTATTTATAAATCGTCCTGTGTAATAGACATAACCTACTTCCCATTCGATAGACAAACTTGTTGGATGAAATTCGGAAGTTGGACATATGACGGTTGGAAATTAAATATATCGTTCTATAGTGATTTGGATGAAATCGATTTGAACGATTATATACCGTCCAATGAATGGGATGTTTTGAGCCACCGTGCCAAAAGAAATGTTCGTTATTATCCGTGTTGTAAAGAACCGTATCCGGATTTAACGTTCATTATGGAACTTCAAAGAAAAGTGGCGTTTTATAATTACATTCTAATTTTACCCTGCGTACTGTTATCAACACTTACTCTCGTCCTATTTTGGTTACCGCCAGAATCCCCTGCTAAAATGGTGCTGGGTAAGTTTTGTTATATGAGTAGCCGAAGTAAGGCTTTGATAAGAAATAATATACAAACCATTCGGCTCTAATCTGTCATCAAAACTAATTGATTGTTTGTTTTCTAATTAATATGGCGAGAATTTTTTTTAAAGGTATGAACATATTCGTTGCATTCTTCGTCCTGCTTTTACTGTTAGCAGAATCTACTCCTCCAGCTGCTTCTTCCATTCCACTTATAGGTATGATAATTTTGTTGTATCTACAAACGCAAAAAAGCATAGGCAAACAGTGAACACGCAAGGGAAACTTTCATTCTAACGGAGTAACTTGGGGGGATTTTTGTTGCCAAATAGTTTCACAACTAATCTATTTGCAATAGAAATCTCTTAAAGTTTTTCGTTGCAGTCAGCCTGCAGGGGGATTTTTAGGGCCTTACTAATCGTTTATACATAGTAATGTTATTAGTAGAAAGTATTTTAATTGTTTAAAACAAAAATGAAGTTGATAGGTAGATAACTACCATAAAATAATTAAATTAAAAATCTTTTAGAGTATTTCGATAAATATTCAATGCTAAGTACAAGAGACTCTCTGTGTAACATACATGATTTATGCAAAGTCTATTTACAAGACAACATGATGTATGCACTAAATTATATAATGCATATGCAAACGAAATAAAGTAGTTTAGTATTATTTGATGTATAACCATACAAAGAACTCTAACATTAAAGTTCTTTTTCATATATGCATATTCATATTTCAATCTGCATTCTCATTACTTAAAGTATATATTTATAGTTGATCTTTTTTTCGACAGGTGCATACTACTGCCTCAACATGATAATGATAACACTATCAACTTTCCTCTCTGTTATCGTTATAAATCTATACTTCCGAGGTGATAAACGAAACCGCGTACCGCAATGGTTAAAAAGGGTTAGAAAAAATAAATAAAGAGAACCTGAAATCATATGAACAATAAACATTCTTTTGCAGTTAATGATCGACATATTAGCGCGAATCATGTGTATGCGTGGTGAATTAGTATCGGAAGATGCACCGAAGAACCAGTCTAAGACTCCAGAAACGGTTCATACTGTTAAAATTGATAAAAAAACTAAACGAAAAGTTAAGTGTCCTGAAATGAAATATAACAAATTTCAAATGTATGAACTGAAAGAAGGATGCCCAAGTGGACTGTTGTCGAATCATAATTCAACATCAGCTCCATCTAGAGGACATTATCAAGAGCAAGATAGATCTTGTTTTCAAGGACAATCTGGTGTGGAGGCTGATGTTAAGGAAATTCGAAAGTATTTAAAACAGATGCTATATCGAATACAGCAAAAAGAGGAAAAAGGCAAAATTGCATTGGAATGGAGGATTGTCGCCATGGTACTCGATCGGTTCTTCTTTTTTATGTACTTGATCGCTATCGTTATTTCGTTGGTGACCATTTTCCCGAAGACTGCTTAAATGTACGATTCTTTTATATTACACATTCAGGCTGATTCGAACTGTATTTTTCTTTAATAATTATTAACACTATAGGCTTAATTATATTGAATATTTGTTATTCAGGTAAATTACACACACTTATACATATGTAAATGTAAAATAACTTTTTGTTGGATCTTTGGTTCTTTTCTTGCTTTATGTTTTAACTTAATTCAGTTTTTTTATATAAACCTGCAGTATCACTTGCATGTGATTTGACCAGTTTTTTTCTCAACAGTTTTAAAATAGGAGTTTCGGCAATAAAATTTTTTAAAGACATTCCAAATATTAGTAAGATAATATAACATAGGCATTTTAAAATAAAAATAAAATGAAATATTTTGCTAAACTTAAACCTCAATGAGAGAGTTCAAGTTCAAATCAATAGATATAAGACTATCAAAGCATTTATACTCTGGATTAAATGTTTATTTTATATAAAAATAAAAAAAGTGAGATGGGTAGCAAAACGGAAATTTGAGAGGAAAGAGAGAGAGAGAGAGAGAGAGAGAGAGGGGGGGGGGAGAAAGAAAAAGAGAAGGGGGTTGGAGGAAAGGAAGAAGAGAAAGGGAGAGAAAGAAAAAATAGATAGAAAAGCAGAAAAGCCTACAGACAGACGGAAAGAGAGGAAGAGAAGAGAAAGACAGAAATAAGAAACAAAAAAAGAAATATCTAGATGAAAAATGAGAGAAAGTTTTTGCACAGGGTTTCCAACCGTATTATTATATAATTTTCTTAGCGTTTATTCTATAATATTATTTAAAAGGAAAGAAATAAAATGAAAACATCAATTATTTATAGAAATAAGGTTTTAATTAATTTTGAAATAAATACTTGAAATAATTTTTTTGTTTATTATTGAGAAAATCTTTTACTCTCTGACAATTCGAGTGACTTTGTATGTGCGTAATTCGGTTAGAAAATGCTTCTGGTCGTTGGCAAGCGGGGGAAATAATCAAAGCCCGATCACCTGATAACCTTTGATCTTTTTCTTTTAACTGTTTTAAGTTGTAGTAAAGAAGACCTTTTTGCCTTTTAAATATATTAATAAACAGCATATTTTCTATTTATCTTAGGATAAAAAGAAATCGTGAGTATCCATTTAGAGAATATTATCGTCGCAAAAAGCTTAATATGCATATAAGTAAATAAGGTTTCATATGATAAAAAATTATCATACCAGATGTCATATTTTGTAACTAAAAATTATAAAAAGAAATTTTGTAAAATTTATTAATAATAAAAAATGGGAAGCTATCAAAAAGATCTCTTAGAATATTTCGTTTTTACTAATTTCTAACTAAGGTTATCAGAGTTTGCGGCGTAAAATAACAAACGTAGGTGACTGCCCGCTTTTTTCCCGTTAACGCTTGTTCCTTCCTCCCGGATAAAATAGTATCTTTTTATCCATTATTTCAGGTTTTAACTTTTGACCTTTCTATTTTTTATTATTATATCTACTATAAAACAACATTAAAATTTAATTAAAATAATATTGGCAAAGATAAATTAATTATAGAATATTTTGGTTAGATAGATCAGGTGAGAGAATTACTTCAAGAAGAAAAAAAAAATAGACTGGAATTTCCTCATCAAGATAGATTCCAAAACTTATGTTATTTTCTTTTTCTTTCACTAAATCTTTCTATTTCTATTCTGTATTTAACAAAACATGTATATATATTACAATATATATTAGTATACAGTACACTGTATACTGTATATAAATTTATATATAATTTATAAAGAATATAGAAGGGTAGAAGATCATTTTTTCTGCTTCCTCCGTTTCTCTCTCTCTCTCTCTTTCTCTATCTAACTTTTTCTTATTCTCTTGGTTCCACTTCTTTCACTCTTTTCTATTTTCTCCAAATATTTATTGTATGTAAAAGCTGTAGAAGGAGCATTAGAGGCAATCTAATCTGAATATTTGATACACACAAACTGTAATGATATATAACAAGATATAAAACTCACGTGTTCATCTGGTAAAACACTTTTATTAATAAAAGATTAACTCTAATTTATCATATAAGTTAATTTATATTTAGATTAAAATATATTCTTTAAATGGCTTAAATAATTTATATGACATTTTTAATAGAAATTCGGAGAGGTCGAAAATGTCAGGAGAATAAGTAGAATAAAGAGAAACATGGTCATTTAATTATTCGATACTCGATCCTAATTTTTCACTGACTAATTGACAACAAAGTAGTTATTTTTTGTATTTATTTTTATTTTAAATGGATCTTTTGAATTATACAAAAGGGACGCTATCATCGTTTTTTTTTATATTCTTTTGCCTTTAATCTAACGTATTCTGAACCATACAATATTAGATTTACTGGTGCGATTATTATCCATTCGGGATGATTTTCTTGAAAAATAGCAGATATGAGAAGCAATAAATTATGAAAGCCATACTATCTTCCTTCGACCGTATAATTCAAATCATCTTTCATTATTTTTTTATATAAATTAAGTAGAAATATTACTGATGATTTACATAAATATTACTTTTTCCCTTTCAAAATTACTATGTTTTCTTAAATATATCCAGTATCGCAATCCTATAGAAACATTATAGTCTGGCGCCCTCTAGTTTTTCTAATTTAGAAAACTATACGACTCATACTGATTTTTTTATTGTAGTTTATGCATTTAATAAGGAAAAGTCGGTGATAAAAGAACGTAAAAAATAGTAGTTATATTTTTTGAAAATAGACAAATCTTTATTTTTCCAAAAACAGAAAGCTATCATTTATCGGACAATTGTATAATTCTTTTTTGGGAAATTGGAATTCCTTAACCTGAGCAATGAGCAGCTAGAATTCGCAAATGTTCATAAAATAATGAAACTCATTACGACAGAAATTCAAATAAAGCTCTGAAAAGATTTCCACTTTAAATACGCTCATTGAGCACCCTTACAGTAATACATGAATATTCATATTCATTACACTGTATATAACATAATTTATCCCCTGGGAAATATTGTCCCCAGTGAGATAACAATTGTTGCTAAATAAGTAAAAAAAAATACTCTATCTAAAACAAGAGCAACAAGTTTCCACTCTTTTACGGCTTTGATTTGAGCTTCTTTGTCATTTACTTTGTTCATATAGGACTTTAAAATTCGTTTAATTTCTCTTACATCACTCTCAATGGACGAAGCTTGGGATGAGATTTGCGGATTTATTCTAGGAGTTGAGTTTCCTTTTAATGGTTCAATGTCATTTGCTTCCATTGGAGGTGGTTGAAATTTGTTATATTTCAATTCAGGACATCTTATTCTCTTTCTTTCAGATTTTTTACCCGTTTCAACATTTATTACATAATCAGTAGTTTTCGGTGAATCATCATTTTGAGCCAATTCATTCTTCATACATAATAACCTCCCAACATAATCAACTATGAACTGTGAAAGAAAAACAAAGATAGAAGGATTAAAAATTATTTTGCTAGATAATCAAGCTTAATGAAAAAGAAACAGGCTATAAAGCACTTTTAAGGCGTTTCGATCATATACATCTTACAGGTACGGTTAGCATGTGTAACAGCCTAGAAGATTAAGATAAAAATAAAAGGAAATACATTTCGATTTTCTCCTTTGTCTTTTTTTTCATTAATGCGATAGATATCTGTTTGAACTTCAATATCCTGAATGCAAATCTCAAAGAAAGAGGACAACTCTATAATGTTATTTATAACATTATACTAAGGGAACAGAGAGATTTTCTTTTCATTCTTTGAATTTACTTACTTTTTTCAACCACTTTGGCACACGAGATTTCTTATCTCCACGAAAGTATAAATTAATTACAATTACTGACAGGAACGTTGATAAAGTAATGAGGACCATGTTTAGACAGAAATAGGCACCTGTATTGTTTAAATTTAATAGCATTATATATTTATATATTATAAGTCTTGAAGACGAATTTGTGGTTAAATTACTTCACTAACAACAGCCATTTAGATAAAAAACATGTTATGAAAGGGAATGTTGAAAGTTATTGATAAACAAACCTATTAAAGGAACAGATTTTGCAGCAGGAGGAGTTGAATCGGCAAGAAGTAAAAGTAATAGAAAGAACGCAACGAAAATATTCATTCCTGTGAAAAAACATCAAACTTTTCGTTATTTATTACTGCAAATAAACCTATTTTCGGTATGGATTTAGAGGCTGGTGGCGTATTATTAGCCAATAGCAGTAGTAAGAAAAAGAATGCAACAAAGATGTTCATTCCTAGAATATATTCAATAGCTAAGTATATTTAATGAAAATGTAATTTATATTAAACATTTTTTTCGCGAGAGAATTGTATTGAAATTAGACCATAGATGGCGTAGCTGTTCCATCAATCAATTCCTACTTAAAGTCAATTCCCTAGTTTAAGTGGACTTTCAAAGAAATAAACGTTTACAAATAAATTGTGTTAACAACTCTACAGTTATGCATATATCAATAATGGTATGTTCTATAAGTATTCACATAAGATGTAGTATAGGCTTGTCAAGGACAAAAAAAACTGGGTGGCAGAAGGGGAGGGGGAGAGAATCTAAATTTCCTTCCTCTTATAATAATAAAGAGGGAAGGGAAGGGGGAAGGAGTGAGAAATTTGATGTCCCTTTTCCATTTAAAGCAGAAAAAGAGGGAAAATGCTAAAAAAAATTCGTTGCATAGTGACAAAATAGAATAAACTACATTATTTTTTGTTGGCAACAATGTCAACGCTGACAAGGCACAGGAACGAATCGAATTTTTTTTCTCCTTTCTAATTATTATGTAAATTAAGGAATGTAGAAGGAGCAAGAAGGCGAGTCAAGCAATCAGTAATTAGCGCAGAAATAGGACACAATCAGGAAAGAATTTTCTGTATCGGTAATTTTCCACATTCTGCGTACACAGTACACTTTATAAGAGAGTTAGCGATATAAAATGGATGGTAATGTTTAGAAGAAACATCTATTTATACATTGAATATACTAGTCTCCATATATACCAAATTTGCATAAACGATAGTCACGAGCGAATAATCCGGCAAACCGAAGCAAACCAACAAAAATAGGCATAAATAAATTTTTGATTTAATAGAAACGTCGTGTGGTTTGTTCGATTGCCTCTGAACTATTGCTTCTACATCTTTCGTAAGATAACTGACACCTATAAGCCCTTCCAATATGCCATTAAGGCCTAGTTAGATAGATAGTGGATTTTTGGTTTAAATCACGTTTTTTTCCTATTAAATAATATGTTCAGAAAATAACGCCCTTTCAAGATATATGATAGATAAGACAATACAAAAACACAAGAGGAAACATGGCTTTCCGGATAAATCCTTGATCTTTTAATAATCAACCTTGATGGAACGCTACCCAATCTAAAAGATTCATTTTTCAATATAAAACCCTCTCGTAATATTCTCACCTAGAATCATTTTCGCGGGAGATTCTGGAGGCAGCCAGAAAATAACGAGAGTTAAAGAGGATAAAAGGACGCAAGGCAAAATTAGTATATAATTGTAGAAGGCCGATTTCCTCTTCACTCTGATATAAAACGTTAAATCTGGATACGGTTCTTCACAGCAGGGATATTTTTTGGTGTGTTTACGAGCAGGAAATCCTAATAGTTTCCATTCATTAGACTCAACATAGTCATTCGTGTCTATACTGTCTTTGTTATCGTAAAAATCTAAATCTAACTTCCAACCATCGTATGTCCAACTGCCAAATTTTAAACTACAATTTTGTATATCAAAAGGAAAATGAGTTATGTCAATTGGACAAGTCGACTTAAAAATTGATCTTGGGATCCATAGGACAGATCCAGTATATTGAATAACAGCTAAAGCATCTCTATGCTCTTTTAATCGCGTATCAGCACTATATTGGGAGTAGAGTTATAAATTTTTCGAAGAATATAACGAAAAATTGATGCGCCTTACTAATTATATAAAACTATATCAGGAGTCCATATCTCGTCAATAGGTATACGGACTTGCTCAACATTCTCGAATTTTGTTGGATCCCATTTCAGGAAGGCATCTGTCCATGTCTGAAAAGTTGTTGATAATGGATATATACCAAGTCATTAATATAAGTCCTCTAATTCCTTTTTCTTGATTTTATAAAAGCATATTAAAATGGATTTATATGCCCTCAATTGGAAATAGAAAGAAATGAATTAAAAACTGCTGTGGATAAAAGATAGAATAACTGCACATATAACTATTATATAGTGCTAATCATAATCTTTATCGTTCATCTCATGATTAATATAAAATTCAGATTTCGTTTTCTCCTCTATTTTCTTGAGCTCTTTTTTCTCTTTCTCTTTTGCAACCTTCGCTAAGTAATTAGTTGAAAAAAAATACCAAACTTTTCTAGTTAGCGTTATACCATAGTAAACATACTTGAAAACCATATATTCTACTTGTTTTATAGAAGTTACCGTTAGTTTGCAATATACTTACATATCTACTCCACACATTTGTCGTCAGCACTTGGTTCTTTTCATCCAAATCTAGAATTTGAATGAGGGCTAAGCCATAGGAGACTTTAACTGTTTCTGACGTATTTACAACGGGTCTGCCTAGTTTTCCCGTTTTTTCATAGTTACTCAATAGCCACTTTATTAATTCTTTCTCTTTTGATAGAGAAAAGTTGGAACCTGAAAGGAATATTTGGTACTTGAAAGATATTCTGACATTTCGAATAATTAATTATTTGTTGTTCCTTTGAAATATATAATTAATAAAAGCATAAAAAAATATAAGGTGCATTTATAGCATGACGTTCAATGTTAATCTACTTACTCCAGAAAGGTTCAAAAAAATAAAGTAAAAAAAAAACGCATATGATTAATTCCTCGGGCTATACTTGTCAAAACTAAGTAGAAACTCTATATCTTCTCAAAACTCTAATCTTTTATAAACAAAGAATAAGACAAACCTTTTATACATATGAGAAAAAGGAGTAGAAAATTTAAAAACGCCATGATTCGCTTATATATATACTGTATATATACATATATATATATGTACTAATATATATATATATATATAGGGAGAAAGAGAGAGATAAGTTTCCATTCTATACGGTTTGCTTTCTAATACAGTCCACATGTCAGAAAACATAGCTTTGCCAAGATGCAAACTTTAGCTATTTGTTTTATCATTGGCTATAAACAGAACCACACTTTTTAAAACAGTGTTTAATAATTTGTTAGTAGTCTCATTCATTGACAAATCGGTCTCAAAAAAAACTCTCAAACTTTTTCATCCGACTTAACTTCTTTTCTTTTGTCGAAAAAGATATCTTAACTACCATCTTTAGTCATCAATCTCTCTTTCTCTCTTCCTAGTCTCTCTCACTCTCTCTCTTCTTCATTTTCTCCTTATCTTCATCATTTACTTGCTAAATAATACTAGCTTCGTTTTATTTTAAAACTTTTTATTATTTCTTTTGCTTTTTAATCCTATTTGCTCTTTCATTTGAGCAACTAAAATTTCATCTATCTTAATTAATTTCAAAGAAAAATATTGGAAAAATATTTCAATTATTAATAAATTAATTATGACTCTTACTAATTGAGAGTTTTAATTGAAAAAGTATAATCTAAAATTACCATCGTGAGAAGAACCATTAAGTTATTTATAGTACGGTGCTATCATGTTATTTCAACAGTACGGAAACCTTAGGCTGACATACGAAAAAATTGCTTCCACCAGGATGCATTCGTTAGCAAATATGCACTAATGATGGTTTTATTACGGATTAAAACAAAAGATACCAGCCCATTTTTTACGCCATAACGATTATACAACAAAAGAGTAAAAAGAGTAAAATAAATAATGTGAACTGAAGCATTTTGTAGGGGTTACTATTGCTTCCTCCAAGCGTGAAATGGCTTACATAGCGATAATTATATATATATCATAGATTTATGAAAAGATATCTATAAGGTTTTTTTAATTTTCTGTTAAATTAAACTACAAAAGCAGATATTTTGCCAATAGAAGCCTATTTATATATATATAAATGATTATATATACATACATATATATATATATATATATATATATAAATAATTATATATAGTACCTGGATATATATTCAAGGTGTAATAATAGATAAAAAACTAAACATTGCAGCGAGAGATTTAAGCTAAAAATAGATCGTATAACACGATGCACTTTTGTTATTCTACCGGCCCAAAATCCTTAAACTGACACATAAAAAAGATTAGTACTGTCCGTATAGAAATTGGTATTGAATTGGAAATGTATTATGCGTTCCATTGCTATCCTAACTCTTTGTAAAAAGCTCGTAATAAAGTAGTCATTAATTTCGTATAAATAATTAGAATATTTTATAATGAATCCTCGCATTACCAAAAGTTAGAAGTTATTTTTTGGTATTAGTTTTCAAGGGCCATCTATAGATTAAAGAAAGAGCTGATTTAAGTATTAGACCTTACTTTTAATTAATTCATTCATGTTCTCTTTGTTAACTTTGCTATCATTATATTTTATATATGAATTTTAAAGATGACAATGTTTTATTAAACACTTTTTTCTTCGCTAATTACATTTCTATTGTGCGCTAAGGGGCTTGATTAAGAAGATTAATAAATATTTAATTTCATACTGATTCCTAAAAGATTTAAACCTGTACTCTATGGAAGTTGAGAAGAACGCTTTCTAGACTATACACACCTGCTATCTCACTTTTTTTTATATTTTTGCTGAAGACGTTATATTTTCCTGGCTCGGAAATGCGGAAGGCTAGAAAACTATCCTACTGCATATCGAGTTCCGATGAAACGCAGTCCAATGAAAATTGCTTATGACTTCATAGAATAAAAAATTGCTTGGCTAATAGAAGATTTTCGGATGTTATTAACGATATCTGATGCTGACGAATAAGTGACAAGAGAAGACACTGGGATCCAGTTGGGGAAAGCTTAAAAAAATAAAATCCCAGGAATAGTATATAGTAGAGTGCGCAGCTGTCAATTTTACAGATGAATATCTGCAAATCAATGCCAATCAGTGTATAGTCTCTGATCCTAATAAAAACAGATCAATTCGAGTTAACCCTGAAGAGAAAATAACGACTAATAAGCTATATTAGAATTTTAAAGCGCAACAACTATAAAATTACAATTTCAATCAATCATTTCTCATCATTCCATTAGTCTTTCGTTAAATTATATCTTGGTAAAAAAATTACATTTATATCTTAGAATAGTACTGTCATATTCAGTTATCTACAATCAATATCAAGCAGACAACCCATTGACTCCTATTTTTGCTACTTTGCATTAGGTACAATACTTCATAGGAGTATGGTGTTGAGGTTGCGATGAATGGTACCTTAGAGGTTACAAGAGGTCAATATTTTATTATTTAATTTTTATCCTTGTTTCCTTTGACGTTATTTTATTGGGGGAAAAAAATAAGCTATTACTTTAACTAATGAATATATAAGTTGAAAATTTGCTACATTTAACAGTCACCGAAACCCTGCATGACGTCACTCTTATTATACACCTGTTACAGTTTCCTTTTTATAGGTGGGTTATTAAGAGCAAATGCTTTAATCAGTGGCATTTTTAATAAAAGCGTTTTACAGACAAAAGTCCTTCAACTGCACTACGCTGTGACATTGGTATTTCTGATACACCTGCGTTTCGTTCGACAGTTTAATAAATCGAGTTCACATAGTGCTTTTCATATAAACGATTAATCTTTGCTATATTATCAAGAATAAATAGTGTAAACATTGTGTTAGAACATCCCATTGAATAGATAAATAAAAAAAAAGCATATATTAAAAATCAATTCGTTTACGATTGTTGCTTTTATCCAATTTTCAATATTACTTCCATTAAATCTGTTTTATAGTATAAATAAAAACTACATCGAAAACAGACAAACTCTGCTTTTTTAATGAAATTTCATTACGAAATAAAAAAACTAGTCCAAGATATCTATCAAAACCCTAAATACAACTGCTTGACTTATTTTACTTAATTTACGTATAAATCATTTGTCAGGAATTTGTTAGAATTTTGACAAAGCGTAACCGGTATTTGGTGGGGCCGATGATTTCCAGAGCGAGTGAGGGAGAAAGAAGAGAGAAAAAGATAAATAAAGAGAGGCATATATAAAAATTTTTAGTTATACGTTGATTTACTTTTCCTATTTGGTATAAAATAAGCTTCTCTTGTACTTCCTTACAAATTGACATCCTGGTTGCATCCGTACTTTATTCTAATTTAAAAACATTATCTTTGAATGATTTAGTCATTTTGCGTTAAAGGGTACAAAATAGATAATTCCAATAGGGATAGAAGTTTTTATGCAATTCTGATAGGAGAACACTGATAAACTCAATTGGGTGATGTTCTCTTGACAAATTGCCTTGATGAGATGTCTGTCAGACATATTAGTGCCTCCTATAAATAAATTGTGTCTATATATAATGGCTTGTAAAATTAATCTATTTTCGTAAAATTATGATTATTAGCATGCCTCAGGCGTACGATAAAAAGACATCAATATCTTACGCCTTACGCCCTAAGTCGGACATTTTACTTGACTGATATCTATCCGTTCGATCTAAGCTATTTCTAAACAATCAATCAAAGGAACCTCGGTAGAAGTAAGTGGTTTAAGAAAAGCTTTCTTACACAAGAGATGAACTGAGGAAATAATAAGGCTTTTATATTTGAATCTTTACTTTTTTTTCAATTTATTTATTAAAGTTTTATAAATTCCTATTGCAAACAAGTAATTCATAATTTATGGAGAAAATTTGATCTTTTTTACAAAGAATATTAAGAAAAATTTCTTTTCATCAGTACTTAATGAATAAATTTATATTGTAAGAGCTCATCAACAACATTCAAACATTCATACCTATCTACAGATTCTTTAGCCTCACAAAAAAGAAAAAAAAATCAGTTACGAAGATAATTAGCTGAGGTTATTAAGGAACAAATAATTCATCTTCACTTTATTTCCTCTATTAAGATATCTTTAAATATTTCACAAACAGAATCAATAGATCGAGAACTGTGGTGTCGGTTTTTGTCATTTTGATCGACAGCGATTTAAATCATTAAAGGATGACAGACAGAAATCTGATGAAGAAAACTTGGGTGTGAGCTCCTCCAAGAAGTCATTAAATTCCTCATGGTGATTGGTCAAAAAGGCTACAGGCTATTCAATTCAATTCAATTCAAAGCGTTTATTGAATTAATAGTAATCGATGGGAAGATATCCTAATAGACTAATCTATTGCACCAATTTAAATTAACCAATGGCAAAATCATGATAATTATTACTTTTAATGATTAAATGACTACTTTATAAGTGACTACAAATTATGGTAAATAAAATATAAGATATATTCAACAGTTGTTTTCACACATGAGGACTTTTTGAACCGTTAGAATTTAGCTACCCAAAAACTAATAAAACCTTAATCAATATAAATGTATCTTTTAAAGGAGAAATCAGCTGATAAGTTGAGTAAACCTCTAGAGTTTGGTATAAAATTAGTGCGGTAATGCAAATGATATAAAACATGCAAAAGACAAACATCTGCAGGGAGTTGAAGTTTCAATGATAAACGTAAAAAACTTCTTGTTTTTACCTTCTTTCCTTGTATTTTTTTTGTTTAGACTATTTTTTCCGTAAGTCCTGTCTTCGAAACACCTAGTTATATCTATTAAAGCAGTTAAAGAGCAGAACGTTGCCAAAAAGTATAGCCTTATCCGCGGCATGTCTTCTTTTCATCTTTTTCTCTGCTAGTCAATAGACGCCTGACTACGTCACGTTTGACGCCCTCTGTCGACGCTTTAGGCGGGGAAATCTATGGTATAATAGACGCTAAAAATTTTTTTGAACTATGGTATGAGTAGGTGAAATATTTAGTAGTAAGTGTTCAAAACCGATAAAAATCGAAACTTATAGCGGAAAATTATGAATCGATGGTAGGAAATAAGGTTTGAAAAATCAATGTCAATAAATTTCTCCTTTTCATACACGTCGAACGGTAAAGGGAATTTGCAACATTTTCAGCATGAATGATTTTTAGACCGCTGAAGCATAATAGCAAACGGTCCAATAATCACGTTCCAACTAATAAGGCTGCCAAACTATACATATTTATAATAATAATATATATAAATATCTATATGTACCTAAAAATAAATACATTTATTTGTATATATACAGCATATCTCTAGATATCAGAGATTCAGAAAATCTCTGTATATATATTCATACTAATATATACATTATGTATATGTCGCATACAAATATATACTAATAGATTATATATACTGTACGTATATATATAATATTTATAAATAGTTGT